GGGTTCAAGCAATTCTCCCGCCTCGGCTTCCTGAGTAGCTGGAATTACAGGTACCTGCCACCACACCCAGCTAATTTTTTGTCATTTTAGTAGAGATGGGGTTTCACCATGTTGGCCAGGCTGGTCTTGGATGCCTGACCTCTGGAGATCACCCACTTCAGCTTCCCAAAGTGCTGGAATTACAAGTGTGGGCCACCGCACACAGCCTCAATCTAATTTTAATTAAGTACAGTGTAGAAATGATCAAATAGCAAAGATCAATGAATAAAAGCAAGTAGAAGACTTGTGCTCAAGTAAAAACTAAATGTGGATTCATAAGATCCAAATATCTTTCAGTAAAAATCAGAAAAAGTGTTTGAATCTAAATGTTTGGGTTGGCATGGTGGTTCACACCTGTAGTCCCAACATTTTGAGAGGCTGCAGCAGGAGGATCACTTGAGGCCAAGAGTTTGAGACCAGCTGGGCAACAGCATTTTTCCCCATCTCTATGGAAAAAAAAAAAAAAAGTCAGCCTGGTGTGGTCGTGTGCACCTGCAGTCCCAGCTACTGGGGAGGATCCCATGTGTCCAGGAGTTTGAGGCTGCAGTGAGGCTTGATTATGCCACTGTACTCCAGCATGGGCTAAAGAGTGAGACACTACCTCAAAAAAATATGGTCTGGATTTAAAGGAATTGAGGACAGTTTTGTTTTTGTTTTTGAGATGGCTCTTTTGCCCAGGTTGGAGTGCAGTGGCACAATCATGGCTCGCCACAGCCTCAAACTCTTTGGCACAAGCAATTCTTCCACCTCAGCCTCTTCAGTAGCTGGGACTACAGGCACACACCACCATGTATAGCTAAATTTTTGTATTTTTTTGTAGAGAAGGGATTTCACCGTGTTGGCTAGCCTGGTCTCAAACTCCTAAGTTCAAATGATCTACCAACCTCAGCCTCCCAAACGACTGGGGTTACAGGTGTGAGCCACCATGTCCAGTGAAACAAATTTTTAAATAATAAATAAACAAAATGTTCAAGGAAATACATACACTAACATACCTTCAATAAATGTTCCTTTTACTGGGCAATGTGGCATGGAACTGTCAAAGGTAAACTTGGAAGTTTTTGCCTTTTCCATAATCAGGCAGTATATGCTATTGAGATACAGATAAAAAAGTAAATCACAGTACCCACTAAGCCCTTTTGTCTAAAAAAAAATGGGGACACATCACTAAGAATACTTTGCAGCAAACTGGTATCTCCCAGCAAACTTTCTACAATTCTTGAATAATTTACCTGTAGGATAAATGGCCTTGTCTTTTTTGGGGGGTGGGGTGGGGGAGGGAGGGGGACGGAGTATCACTCTGTGCCCAGACTGGAGTACAACAGCACAATCTTGGCTAACTGCAACCTCCACCTCCCAGGTTCAAGTGTTGTCCTGCCTCAGCCTTCTGAGTAGCTGGGATTATAGGCGCCCGCCACCATGCCCAGCTTCTTTTTGTATTTTTAGTGGAGATGGGGTTTGACCAGGTTGGCCAGTCTGGTCTCGAACTCCTGACCTCATGTGATCCACACTCCTTGGCGTCCCAAAGTGCTGGGATTACAAGTGTGAGCCACCGCACTTGGCTCCCTTATTTGTCATTTTGACTTTGACATCTTATTTCACTGGCTTAGTAATCTCATTCTTTCAAACCAAGAACTGGCATATGAAAAGGACTGTTTTCATACCTATAAGGTACTCATTTATACCTAAGGGCATCAAATTCATGCCCTCAGTGCTTTAAATCCAGACCATATTTTAGTTTATTAAGTTCTTCAAAAACTAAGCCAAAGTAAAAATTTAACATTCCTTTTCTAGGAGACCATGGACTGTGCTCAATGAGACAGGGTTCCTGGAAGGAAGGCCCATGACCTGGACCACATAACCTGCCTTGCCTTTATTGCTGTGCTCCAGGCCTGCTTTTCCAAATTTCAGACAAACCAAGGTGCTGAGTGTCCTCAGACTTACTTACACAGTTACTGTTCTCCCTTCCGGTACCTTTGCAGGGTTGGCTCAGGTCTCAGCCCCAATGAAACTCCCTCAGAGGCCTTCAATGACATCCAGTGGAAAGTGACCAACCCTTCCTTATGCCACCCCTCAGGGTCATGTTCCATTATACCACCCTATTGTCAAAGCAATAACCATTAAATTATTTTCCTATTTATTGTGCTTCTCACATTAGAATGTTATCTTCCAAAGGGGCAGGAGCCTTGGAACCTTGTCTAGCTTGTTCATAATTGCATCCCCAGGGCCTAGGTCAGGACTTGGCACATAATAAGTAAATGAACGACTGGATGAATGAACTGGTTTTAAAAATCATCAGGATAATACCAAGTGTGGTGAGAATGTAGAGCAGCCACAACTCTCATTCACTGCCAGGAGGCATGTACACTGGTACAACCACTTTAGATAACTGGCAATATCTACTGAAGCTAAACATATGCATACCCTATGACCCAGAAATTCTAACACAATAGATCTGACAGAAATACATATATATCATCAAAGACATGAACCAGAATATTCATGCAGCGCTATACAGCAACAAAGACCAACTACAACTGCACATGACAATGTGGGGAAAATATCCCATAATGTTATTGAGCTAAAGAAATTAGACACCAAAAGAATATATACATTGATTCTATTTGTATAAAGTTTAAAAACAGGTAAAAGTAATCCATGTTTTTAGAATTCACAATAGCTTAATCCCAGCAGTTTGGGAGGCTTGCTTGAGGCCAGAGTTGGAGAAGCCCCAATAGAAGGTAACCTGGGTAGATGAAAGGGGACACACCAGGGAGGGGAGTGCTGCCGGGATGTTGGTCATGCTTTGTTTCTTGAAACTGGGTGCTGGTTACATGAGCATGTTTTCTTTAACAACAACAAAAAAAAGTTCAAAAAATTAATCAGGAGTCCCTCTGAAGAGACAGCATAGGAGATCATAGCAGATGTCAGGCATCTTGTGTGTTACTCCACTTTCTTACCCTCCACCCAGCTTAATAATAACTATTTGCTAAATGAAAAGTAAATGTTATTATCACTTTAAGGTGACAAGGTGATAACTTGTCCTAACTTATACAGGACAGCACAGCCTTAACTCAAACCCCAAACAGCCAGATTCCACTAACTGTGCTCTTAACTACTTCACCTTATGACCCTGTGTGAAACTGGATAATGTTAATATGTAACTGAGAACTTGTGTTTGGTGTACTTATTACAATAAATCAGGCTTCCCAGCCACTAACTGAGCATTGCGGATTGGGTCTCAGTTTGCTTACCCACAAAATGGAGAGAATAGAATCTTCCTTTTATTCAACCAATGTTTACTAAGCACCTATCCTGTGCCAGGTACTATTTTAGGATAGTGGAAGATTAAGTGAGAAAATACAAAATGATAAATCCACTTTCCCACTACCAAAATCCCTTGTATTTATTTGTAAGGTACAGTGTTTTTTTTCTTTTTCTTTCTTTTTGAGATGGAGTCTCGCTCTGTCACTCAGGCTGGAGTGCAGTGGCACGATCACGGCTCACTGCAACCTCTGCCTCCCGGGTTGAACGATTTTCCTAACTCACTCAGCCTCCGGAGTAGCTGGGACTACAGGTATGCGCCACCACACCTGGCTAATTTTTTGTATTTTAGTAGGGACTGAGTTTCACCATGTTGCCCAGGCTGATCTCGAACTCCTAAACTCAGGCAATTCACCCGCCTCGGCCTCCCAAAGTGCTAGGATTACAGGTGTGAACCACCGCGCCCGGCTGGTACAGTGGTTTTAATGAATATTATGGAACTCACATAAAATTCAAGCAAAATTTTGCATTCAATTTCGGCGTATTCACAAACCTTCTAAAGTCCACATATTGTCCTCCATTACAGTTAACAACTGTTGCAGAAGGACTGAAACCATTATGTCACATTGGAAACTCCTTTGGAATTTCCGGCCCACCTAAAATTTTTTTGGAAACTCCTTTGGAATTTCCAGCCCATACAGCAGGGAAGAGGGTACTATTATTCATGTGTTACAGCCAACTAGAATCGTATTTAATCATTGCAGTTTCACAAGTAGACCACGATAGGAATGCTTTTTCCAATTGTCACAGCAGAAGATCCTTCAATTCCGAGGTTAGACAAGAGAGGTAGAAAAGGGGCCACCAAACTTCTCTTCTGAAAAGAAAGTGAATGAGAGCCCAGCAGTTAGGAGGCGCTCATCTGAAAAAAATACCTGGGTAGGAGCTCAGACTGCTTAGTCATGAAAAGCGACCTAAGTAAAACACGTCTCTCTCTGGGAGCAATTACTACGTCCGAAAAATGGGTTAATAACCTCTGCTCCGCCTTCCTGTAGGGCTTCCTACACTATAGCTCAAAGGAGGAAATAAATGGAGTGCTTTACAAATGCAGATAGAGGGAAAGTCATCACTGAGCCTTAGGGCACGGAGGGCAGGAAAGCCTGTGCTTCTCTGCTGTTGGCTTCCGCCTTCCTCACTGCAAACTCAGTCCCCGGCAGCGCGAGAAGCCTTTTAGGAATCGGGATGTGGGACAGAGGAACGCTCCTAACAGCTCAGAACAGTGCCTGGAACTGTACAGGCGCTTGGTATATGTCCGCTGAATGAGTCAATGAGTGAAACTATAGAGAACATCCTCATTTACGAGGTTCCGGCGCGACCTCCCCGAGACCCTCGCAGCCTGCGGGACGCCACACTTACCGGGCTCCAAAGCTTCTTCCGGCTGGCCGCAAGTCCTCCGCTTCCTACTGCCTCCGCTTCGGGAGCTCCGGGGGATGCAGCACCTCTAACCTGGACCAGCAGGGCTCCTTCTACAGCTACGAGCCGCAAGCCAGGTCCAAAGCATGCGACTCGCTAGAAACGGAAAGAAGGTGGAAGGAGAAAAGAAACTTTCGCGCCAATCGGGTGGCCCCGCCCCCAGGCCGTCCCTTCGTTACGTCACCAATTAGATCGCGCCTCCCTGCCCCGCCCACCTAAGGGAGGTTACTTATGTCCGGTAACTTGCAGCAGCCATCATTGTAGATCCGATTGGCGAAGCGGAAGGCTGAAGGTCTTTGCGCCGCGGTACTTCCGGTTTCAAGATGGTCGCCTAATCTGTGTAGTGAAACTTCTTCCACCTTTCTCCATCCTCTAGGTTTTTTTTGAACCTGGATGTGACGCATTAAAAGACTCGACGGAAATAGAATCAAAGGCATTCTAAAATGGCTAACCGTACGGTGAAGGATGCGCACAGCATCCATGGCACCAACCCTCAATATCTGGTGGAGAAGATCATTCGAACGCGAATCTATGAGTCCAAATACTGGAAAGAGGAGTGCTTTGGACTTACCGGTAAGCGGAAGCGCGCGGAGCCCCTCTCGGCCGCTTTGTGGCTAGTTTCTTCTGACCGGGCGCCTGTAGGGCTAGTAACTGGCCTCTGGAGTGGTACTGGAACGGAGTATGTCGATCATTTCAGAAAAATTTGAGTGCCTGCTTAGTCTTGTGTTGAGTCGGGGACACAGATGAGTCTGATAAGGTCATATTCTGACGGGTGTCTTCAGTTGGATTCTGTGAATTATTTCATAGTTAATGATTGCCGGCTGGGTTGCAAAGTATTAAGCTCAGGGATCCGAATATAACTCTTTGTACACAGTGTACTGAAGGTCTTTAAGGATCTAACGTTAGTAGGTCTGAAACCAAATTCGTGATCTTACTATCCTTAGATTTGGGCCAGTTGCAGTATTTCCACTATCATGTCCTAATAGAAACATCATTGCTTCACAGAAGTCTTCCAGGTAGTCTTTCGATTTGAATTCTGGCTTTAAACCCATGTCCTGTGACAATCTGTGGACCTTGAGCAAGTCACTTTACGTTTCCTGGCCCTCATTGTCCTTACCTGGAAAACGAAACATTGCTACAGCTTTCTTCATAACTTGTTACAAAAGTTGAGTGATATAATATGAAAAGCTTAGCAGGGTACCTATTTTATTATCCATTCTCAATGTATGTTAGCTGCTGTTGTTACTGTCATTAATACACATTTGTTCTCGTATTAAACTGTTGATGAGTATTTAGGAGAACCAAAGCTTGAACTAACTCTCCACTTCCTACTAGGAAGAGCTTAACTCTAATATGTCACTCTATTTGGTTTTGTTTTTTAGCTGAACTTGTAGTTGATAAAGCCATGGAGTTAAGGTTTGTGGGTGGCGTCTATGGTGGCAACATAAAACCAACACCCTTTCTGTGTTTAACCTTGAAGATGCTTCAGATTCAACCTGAGAAGGATATCATTGTAGAGTTTATCAAAAATGAAGATTTCAAGTGAGTGCAATGTTCACTAGCTAATATAAGAGGTTTAATTTTGGCGGTTCAAAATTGGGCTTTGGTTAAGAGGGGTGTACGCAATGTATCTCATTTCTACAGAGTTCCACTCCAGATTTTTGCTCTTGAGCCCTTGACTTTGTATTTTTTGTTTGTTTGTTTTTTTTGTTTTGGAAACAAGAGTCTCACTGTGTTGCCCAGGCTGGATTGCAGGGGAGATCAACTTCCTCTTCCTTAGTGATTCTCCTCCCTCAGCCTTCCAAGTAGCTGGGATTACAGGCATGTGCCACCATACCTGGCTAATTTTTGTATTTTTAGTAGAAACAGGGTTTCCCCATGTTGGCTTGGCTGATCTCGATCTCCAGACCTCAGGTGACCTGCCTGCCTTGGCCCCCCAGAGTGCTGGGATTACAGATATGAGCCACCACACTCGACCAAGTTTGATTTTTATCTGTTCTGATTGTATTAATCTTCTTCTTTACTGGCTCAGTCTTGAGAATTTTTCCCCTGAAAAAAGGATTTTACAAATTCACTAAATATATATTAAGCAAAAGTGAGTGCCTAATATGGTGGTAGGAACTAGACATTCAGGGGTGTAAATAAAACAACAAAAGGTGATGGTTAAGAGATGTTAGATCTGGGTTCACATCCAGATTCTGTTGCTCATTAACTGTGACACTGGAGAAGTTACTTAATTTTCTAAACTTTATTTTGCTTATCTGTAAAATGGTGACAGTAATGTAAGAGTGAAAGAAGGTTGTGCATGCATATCTCTGAACATAGTGCTTGCTGTATAGTAAACACCTAAAAAATGTCAGCTTGTTTTATTATTATATTACCATTGTCACAGAATTCACAGAAAAGTATAGGAGGCAGACATAATAGCCTTTTTTTTTTTTGAGACGGGAGCTTCGCTCTTGTTGCTCATGCGGAGTGCAATGGCATGATCTTGGCTCACCACAACCTCTGCTTCCTGGGTTCAAGTGATTCTCCTGCCTCAGCTTCCTGAGTAGCTGGGATTATAGGCATGTGCCACCACGCCGGCTAATTTTTATTTTTAGTAGAGACGGTTTTTCCATGTTGGTCAGGCTGGTCTTGTAACTCCCAACCTCAGGTGATCCACCTGCCTTGGCCTCCCCAATTGCTGGGATTGCAGGTGTGAGCTACCTCGCCCGGCCCATAATAGCTTCTTATGTGCTTGTCTAAGGCCTTTGCATATAATAATTCATTTCACTTTCACAACAGCCTTCGAAACTTTTAATCCCTATTCTACAGGGGAGGAAACTGAGGCACAGAGATTAAGTAATTTTGTCCAAGATTCAACACCTAGTAAATAGCAAATCTGGCCTCAGAGTCCATATTCTTTGCTACAGTATTCTGCTTCTCATATAAAGAAACTTGAGTTTCAAATGCCTCCTACTCAAGTGGAAATTTAAGTAGTTGGCTATAGGAAAAAGGGAAAAAGAAAGACTCTTATAAAGCATTAACAGCTAGAAAATACCTAACTTTTGTTAGGCACTTACTCTGTGCTATATGCTATACTTAGTACTTTAAATGCATTTCTTGTTTAATATACCAAGCCATAAATTAGGTAGCATTATCTCCATTTTACAAGGATTGAGAAGACACATAATTTGACCAGTAGTGTAACAGAATTAGTAAATTATGGAGTCAGAATTTGAACCCATATGCCTTTTTCCAAAATCAGCATTTATGTTTATGTGTTCTTGTTCTTGTATTGTTATTAAATGTATCTTCTACTTTCTGTTTTTAAATTCAGTATCTGTCCGGGCATGGTGGCTCACACCTGTAATCCCAGCACTTTGGGAGGCTGAGACAGGTGGGTCACTTGAGGTCAGGAGTTGGAGACCAGCCTGGCCTACATGGCAAAACCTAATCTCTACAAAAATACAAAAACAGGCCAGCCACAGTGGTTCACACCTGTAATTGCAGCACTTTGGGAGGCCAAGACAGGCAGATCACCTGAGGTCAGGAGTTTGAGACTAGCCTGGCCAACATGGCAAAACTCTGTCTCTACTAAAAATATAAAAATCAGGCCGGGTGTGATGGCACATGCCTGTAATCCCAGCTACTTAGGAGGCTGAGGCAGGAGAATCACTTGAACCCAGGAGGTGGAGGTTGTAGTGAGCTGAGATTGTGCCACTGCACTCCAGCCTGGGCAACAGAGCAAGATTTTGTCTCAATCAATCAATCAATATTAGCTGGGCATGGTGGCAGGCGCCTGTAATACTAGCTACTTGGAGGCTGAGGCAGGAAAATCACTTGATCCTGGGAGGCGGAGGTTGCGGTGAGCCAAGGTCACACCGCTGCACTGCAGGCTGGTGACAGCAAGACACTGTCTCAAAAAATAAATAAATAAAAAAAATTCATTATTTTGTTTGATTCTTAGAGTGATCCTGTGAGGTAAATAGGTTTTATTTTAGTTTTACTGATGATATAGTTGAAAGTTGATCAATATGTATGATATTCCAACCGCCATAAATGGTAGCATGGGAACTTGAACCCAGGTCTCCATATTTTAGCTGTCTTCCTTCTGCTGCATTCTACCTCTACAATTGCAGCTTTCTTATCTGCCAAAGAGAAGAACATGTTTATCCACTACTGTCATGAGAAAAGGTAGTTGTAAAACGCAGAAACTTCTAGGGTGACCTGTTGTTTCACTGTTATTTGTCTATCAGGTATGTCCGCATGTTGGGAGCACTTTACATGAGGCTGACGGGCACTGCAATCGATTGCTACAAGTACTTGGAGCCTTTGTACAATGACTATCGAAAAATCAAGAGCCAGAACCGAAATGGGGGTGAGTATGGTGCTAAGTCTCCTGATTGTCATTTTTAAGCCAGTTTTTAATTTCACCAGTACCTCTACCTTTGCGTTGTCATAACAGTGTGAATGCTTCTCTTCATCTACATTGTTATTGTCTTTATGCAGGTTTTCCCCTCCCCTCATGTGAGAGTTGAGCCTGACCACTAGCTTCATGTTGGCCTTACCCAGCCTGCCTCTGTCTGCCTCCCTTTCCAAATGCATCTTATGTTAATTCCTGCCTTGCAATATATGCCCCCTTTATATGTACTCCATCCCAAAATATCTAGCTGCAGAACAGCTTCTCCGTAAAACGCTCCCAGCCCTCCCAAACAAAATCAGTTTTCCATATTTTACATCTTCACGGTTATTTCTGCCGGCCTCTCCTCTAGCACTATACTTCATGCTGTAGTGTATAGACTAAGTGTACTCATTATTTTTTTTTTTTTGAGACGGAGTTTCACTCTTGTTACCCAGGCTGGAGTGCAAGTGCACGATCTTGGCTCACTGCAACCTCCGCCTCCTGGGTTCAGGCAATTCTCCTGCCTCAGCCTCCTGAGTAGCTGGGACTACAGGCACGCGCCACCATGCCCAGCTAATTTTTTGTATTTTTAGTAGAGATGGGGTTTCATCACATTGACCAGGATGGTCTCGATCTGTTGACCTCGTGATCCACCCACCTTGGCCTCCCAAAGTGCTGGGATTACAGGCGTGAGCCACCGTGCCTGGCCATGTACTCATTTTTATACAGAAATCCCACTGAAAATAAGTATATCCAAGAGAGGCAGCTCCATACCTTTTACAAAGACATTACTTAACGTACTAAGGAGGGATTCCAGGTAATGCAGTAAAAACCTTTTCTCAATTGGTGTCATAACAGAAGATAGGAACATTTACCTTTCCCCCCACATGTATCATTAAACAGTAGACGGTTAAGAATTTGGGGCCAAGCATGGTATCTCACGCCTGTAATCCCAACACTTTGGGAGGCCAAGGTGGGCAGATAACTGAGGTCAGGAGTTTGAGACCAGCCTAGCCAATATGGTGAAACCCTGTCTCTCCCAAAACTACAAAAACTAGCTGGGTGTGGTGGTGCACACTACTCATTCTATAATGCTCCTCATTCTACAATGCACAAGCCAATCCTCAGACAAAAATTTCTGACCCAAAATGTCAACAGGTTGAGAAATTCTTAGTTTTACATAATAAAATAATGAATAACTTCCCCATGGCCATGACCACATCCATCTTGTTCACCATGATATTTACACCACATAGCATAGTATGTGACATGTCAGTGGCACTTAGTATGTATTTATTCAATGAACAAATTAGTAAGTTTATAATACCACATTCTTTTTTTTTTTTTTAAGATGGCATCTTGCTCCGTTGCCCAGGCTGGAGTGCAGTGGTGTGGTCTCGGTTCACTGCAGCCTCTGCCTCCCAGGTTCAAGCAATTCTGCCTCACCCTCATGAGTAGCTGGGATTACAAGTGCCTGCCACCATGCCCAGCTAATTTTTGTATTTTTAGTAAGATGGGTTTCACCATGTTGACCAGACTGGTCTTGAACTCATGACCTCAAGTGATCTGCCTGCCTTAGCCTCCCAAAGTGCTGGGATTACAGTTGTGAGCCACCATGCCTAGCCAGTTCTCAAAAGCGATTACTCCATATGCCATATAAGCTATATGCTCTAGATTCAGAAACATTGTGGGTTCATATGAGAAATTTTATTTGAATTATATGATCTCTTCAAAATCAGGCCTACATAATTCAGGCTGTTTGTGTTTGCTTTTGTGTTTGTCTCCTAACTGAGACATCTTCATTCATCCCTTAACCTCTTCTAAAGAGGCCTAGCACATAGATTTGCTGATATGAGGTTTTAACACTTTTTACTTTTTGGCATCTAAATCTGTTACTTCCAAGTTGTTTGAGCTAATTTTTTTTTGTTGCAGAGTTTGAATTGATGCATGTAGATGAGTTTATTGATGAACTATTGCACAGTGAGAGAGTCTGTGATATCATTTTGCCTCGGTTACAGGTAAGAAATGAAAGTCTCTTACCAGAGTCACCCCTTTCTTCTTAGATAGGCGGACAGACAAACACATATACACAGCTAAAACATTGAAGCCTGTGGATCTTATGGGTCCTCTTAATAAACAGTCTTCCTGTCTATGAGAAAGATAGTGGATTGGGAGTGACAGGAAAATAGATAAGATATTTGAAGGGTAGGGCTCTAAAAGTGAATAGTTAAGGAAACTGTCTTTCCCCATCCTCTTGTAGTTCATAAACATGGTGATTGGGGGGTTCCCGTGCATGTGAGATGTGCCTCCCTCAAATCTTATAACGTCAGCACATTACCCGTCTATCATGGGAAAAAAATTTCTTTAGGGTGTTATGTCAAGGATATTGTAGCTAGAATAGGCATTTTTTAACTTCATGAACAGCTTTTTTCAAACTAATCTTCATGAAAAAGCCAGGATATAAAACAGATAAAAAGAGAGCCAGGAGTGGGAGACTGAGCCCTTAATTCCTTAAACTTGCCTTTTATCATCCTGCTTCCCTTTCCTAGTGATAATCGATTATCCATGAGGCATCTTTTCAGGAATGGGTTTTATAATTTTAAAACTGCTATTACAAAATGCAAAGGAAATACAGGTAAGGTAGCTATTCTAAAGAGAAAGGGAATGGGCTAAAATGCAGAGGCAACTGAATAGGAAATTAGGAGGCCTGAGTTTCTGTGTTATTACAGCCCACTAGCTGTAGGATCTTGTCTTAATTTCTCTATCTATAAAATGGGGAAATGAGACTACCTCTGTGGTCTTTACACTGCCTTGTGGGGCTCTTTTAGAGATACTGACAGGAAGTGAAGATAGCCCTACATATTCCAACCAGGTTAGTTCCTTTTCCTCTAGGTTATATGTTGGGTTTGAGCAGTGAGATTTTGTTTGAACAGAGGCTTTTTTGCTTATAAATGGCTTGAGGTTTAATTGTCTGTATATCCAAAGTATAAAATTTGATGAGTCATTTTTTGTTTTTTTGAGATAGAGCCTCACTCTGTCACCCAGGCTGGAGTGCAGTGGTATGCAGTGCCTCTACCTCCTGGGTTCAGGCAGTTCTCATGCCTCAGCCTCCTCAGTAGCTGGGACTACAGGCAGGCGCCACTGTACCAGGCTAATTTTTGTATTTTTAGTAGAGATGGAGGTTCACTGTGTTGGCCAGGCCAGTCTTGACCTTCTGACCTCAGGTGATCCACCCACCTTGGCCTCCCAAAGTGCTGGGATTATAAGTGTGAGCCACCACACCCAGCCTCAGGTTGCCTTTTTTTTTTTTTTTTTTTTTTTTTTTTTCTTTTTTGAGACAGAGTTTCGCTCTCGTTACCCAGGCTGGAGTGCAATGGCGCGATCTCGGCTCACCGCAACCTCCACCTCCTGGGTTCAAGCGATTCTCCTGCCTCAGCCTCCTGAGTAGCTGGGATTACAGGCACGTGCCACCATGCCCAGCTAATTTTTTGTATCTTTAGTAGAGACGGGGTTTCACCATGTTGACCAGGATGGTCTCGATCTCTTGACCTCGTGATCCACCCGCCTCAGCCTCCCAAAGTGCTGGGATTACAGGCTTGAGCCACCGCGCCCGGCTCAGGTTGCCTTTTTAAATACTCTGAAGTGCTTGCTTCCTTTTAGATAGAAACCAAAGACGATAATTTAAAAATAAAAGGTCACACATGATATGGTTCCTTTTATATGGTATATCCAGACTAGGCATAGAGACAAAAAGGCAGATTAGTGATTGCCAGGAGATGCAGAGTGAGGAATGAGCATTGATTACTTAAGGGATATGAGGTATTTTGGAGGGATGATAAAGTTTTGAAACTTTAGTTTGGTTGCACAACACTGTGAATACAATAAAAGCCACTCAATTATACATTTAAAGTAGTTGTATTATGTGAATTTCATCTCAATTTTTTAAAAAAGATGAAAGAGATCAGAAAAACTTCAAAGTCAGGAATTGAATGGATACAAGTATGTGATAAATGGGTGAGATTAATTTGCTCAAGGCAGCAAACCTGCTGGATAAAAGTATTTGGTAGATGGATGTTTATGCTTAAATGAAGAACATCATCTCTTCCTCCACGTTGACCCAGTCATAATCTTATAAAATAAAAATCCTCAAAATGGGTGTGATACATCTCTCCTGTTCCATATTGGCACTGTGGAGTATGTAGTGGAAAGAGTAAGATTGTAAATTTGAAAACCTACTCTGAAGGCCCAATTCTCATAGCAAGAATCTTGCTATGTTCCCTAGGCTGGTCCTAAACTCCTTGGCTCAAGGGATCTTCCCACTTCAGTCTCCCAAGGAGCTGGGACCACAGGCATATGCCACCACGTTTAGTCATTTGGCATTTTTGAAATCAGTTTTGCCTCTCTGATCCTTAGCCACTCAAACATTGCTAAGCCATATCCCAGAGTAAAATGGAACCAGTTCAAAATGCACAAGTCTGAACAGAACCCTAGATCATGGGTCTAATGGAGATTTGATGGTACTTTAGGGCTGGGCCTCTTGTGCTAGAACTACCAGCCATGAACTTATTAGCCCTTGGACTTTCTCCGTGTATGAAGCCTTTATTTTTGGTTCTAGGCTGTATCTATAATGATTGATATTCCCATGAGTTTATAATGTAAGATCACAGGGAATACAGCCAATAGAAGATGAAGCTGTTCCCTTCAGGTTTGTATTTATGTTTATAAGAGAACTTGAGTTTCTAGATTCTAGGTCTGTTAAACTTACTAGGAAAATCTTGAATGCCTTTGAAATGAAATTGCCTCAGCTGTTGCTCCTTGGGGCCCTGAAGCCCAGTGGTGAGGTTTCAGGCAATGGCAACAACTCCTAACTCTGATTACTTTCTGTGTAGAAACGCTATGTATTAGAGGAAGCTGAGCAACTGGAGCCTAGAGTTAGTGCTCTGGAAGAGGACATGGACGACGTGGAGTCCAGTGAAGAGGAGGAGGAAGAGGATGAGAAGGTCAGGCACCTAAGACTTTGAGAGCTTTAGGGAAGAGAGTTACAGAAAATGGGAATGGTTTTTTGTTTTTAGACTTTTTTTTGAGACTCTCGCTCTGTCGCCAGGCACCAGGCTGGAGTGTAGTGGCACGATCTCGGCTCACTGCAACCTCCGCCTCCGGGGATCAAGCAGTTCTCCTGCTTCAGCCTCCAGAGTAGCTGGGACTACAGATGTGTACCACCAAGCCCAGCTAATTTTTCCATTTTAGTAGAGACGAGGTTTCACTGTGTTGGCCAGGATGGTCTCGATCTCTTGACCTCATGATCCACCCGCCTCAGCTTCCCAAAGTGCTGGGATTACAGGCATGAGCCACCGCGTCCGACCTAGACTTTAACTCTATTGTCCAGGCACGGTGGCTCACACCTGTAATCCTAGTACTTTGGGAGTCCAAGGTGGGCGGATCACCTGAGGTCAGGAGTTCGAGACCAGCCTCAGTAACATGGTGAAACCCTGTCTTTACTAAAAATACAAAAAAATTAGATGGGAGTGATGGTGGGCACCTGTAATCCCAGCTACTCAGGAGGCTGAGGCAGGAGAATCGCTTGAACCTGGGAGGTTGGAGGTTGCAGTGAGCTGAGATTGTGCCACTGCACTCCAGCCTGGGCAAGAGCAAGACTCTGTCTCAAAAATATATTTTTTTAATTCTTTAACCAAAGAATTAAAGGTAGTACCTCAGCTCTACCATATACTAGTGGTATAATCTTACACAAATTTAATTCTTTAATTCTTTAACCAAAGAATTAAAGAATTAAATCTTGGCCAGGCGCGGTGGCTCAAGCCTGTAATCCCAGCACTTTGGGAAGCCGAGGCGGGTGGATCACAAGGTCAAGAGATCGAGACCATCCTGGTCAACATGGTGAAACCCCGTCTCTACTAAAAATACAAAAAATTAGCTGGGCATGGTGGCAACTGCCTGTAATCCCAGGAGGCTGAGGCAGGAGAATTGCCTGAACCCAGGAGGTGGAGGTTGCGGTGAGCCGAGACAGTGCCATTGCACTCCAGCCTGTGTAACAAGAGCGAAACTCCGTCTCAAAAAAAAAAAAAAAAAAAAAAAAAAGAATTAAATCTTACACAAATTTAATTCTTTAATTCTTTAAGAATTAAAGGTAGTACCTCAGCTCTACCATATACTAGTGGTATAATCTTACACAAATTAAATTGAGTTTTCTCCAATGTAAAGTGAGGTTAATGATACTTTTCTCCCAAGACTGTTAAAAGTATTAAATAAGATGATAAACATAAAGCCCTTAGCACATGTTTTGCACATTATAATTGCCTAATAAGTGGTGCCAGCTATTAAATACTTGGAAAGAAGTAACACTTGTTATAATTGCCCCTGTCCTCAGTAATAAGCCTTGTTTAGGAGGGGGAAAATGTCAACTACATAGTCATGTTCTTTCAGTACTAATTACAATGCTGAAAAGTTGAAACCAGCCAAGCTGCCCAGTTGTTTCAGGAAGCAGCCAGATAAAACTTCTGTTTTTGTTTTGTGAGACAGGGTCTCACTTTGTTGCCCAGGCTGTAGTACAGTGCCACAATCTTGATTCATTGCAGCCTTGGCCTCCCAGGCTCAAGCTGTCCTCCCACTTCAGCCTCCCGAGTACCTGGAACTGCAGGCACATGCCACCATGCCCGGCTGATTTTTGTATTTTTTTGTAGAGATGGGGTTTCACCATGTCTGCAAAACACACACATGCATACACACGCACGCATACACACGCACACATATTCACTCACACACACTCTCTGCTTCTGTTCCTATATAGCTCATAATAAGTTTTGTTAGTTAATAGGGTAAGTGCTTCCCTCTTTGTAGTCAGATCACTGTGCTTTAAAGTCACTTGGAGACAGACTTTGGGACAAGATGTGGAGCAAAGTATAATTAGTGTTTCTAGTGGCTCCTTATGAGCTTGTGCCTATCAATGACCCAGCCATCTTGTTTCCAGTTGGAAAGAGTGCCATCACCTGATCACCGTCGGAGAAGCTACCGAGACTTGGACAAGCCCCGTCGCTCTCCCACACTGCGCTACAGGAGGAGTAGGAGCCGGTCTCCCAGAAGGTAAAGCCTTAGTCGTTGGCCTTTTCCCAGGAGATTCTGGCACTGTAGCCTAGAAGTTTGGATTTTAGAGAAGGAAAAATGACAGCCTGTGGAGAATGTTTGCCCAATATATTAGTTATCTCATTGGCAGACAACAATAACCATTTGTTTTGTTCAGAACTCTGCGGTCAGTGATTTATGCAGAGCTTGGATAGGCAGTTTTTGAAGTACCTGTTTTGTTGTTAGCTGTCTGCTGGCTGCTATGGGATCGCCTTAGCTAGGATGACGGGGGAAGTTTCTCTTCTCTTTATCATCCTCCAACAGGATAAGATGGGCATCTTTTCACGGTACTGGCAGAACTCAAGAGCAAACAAACCTACTCATGCAGATGTTTTTCTTGTATCTGCTTTTATCACATATGCAAATATCTCATTAGCCAAAGCAAGTCATGTGGCCAGTCCTAAAGTTAGAATGGGAGTGTGCTAGTGTTACATGACAAAAGACATGGATACAGAGAAGGGTGAAGAATAAAATTGGGGCCGTTTTTGCAATCTGCAACATCCAGTGCGCCAACCTAAGCTTTCTTCTTCCTCTCTTTATAGGCGAAGCCGATCTCCCAAAAGGAGAAGGTAGGCCTTCAGTCATTTTGATAAAGGACTGGGCTTTGGGGAGTGGGGATGGTATTAGTGTTCTATGTATATTGCTAACCAGATCCAGTAGTCTGACCAGTCTTTTCTACAGCCCCTCCCCCCGTCGAGAAAGGCATCGGAGCAAGAGTCCAAGACGTCACCGCAGCAGGTCCCGAGATCGGCGGCACAGATCCCGTTCCAAGTCCCCAGGTAGGACTTGGACCTTTTGCCACAGGTTCTCTTAATAAAGAAATGTAAAAGGAACAGTTAGCCTCCTGCAGTATAGGAGTGCCTGACTGTACTGCCTAGCAGAAAAGGAAATGGACATAGAATTTGAAAATTAAGGTTCACAGCTTGTCACTTTTATAAGCTTTGCTGATAAGGTTTGCTTCTGTTTTTTCATCTGACAGTACAGGAATAAGATCTAACATAGTAAGGAAAACCCAATATGATGATTGTGAAATGAGCCATAAAGCCCTTGAATGTTATTTGTATTTGAACTAGTTTCGTTACTACTGTCTGCTCCCTCTTCCTTCACTAACTTCACTAATTCAGAGAGTTGCTACCGCTAAGAGGTGTCCCCTGCATAGGGCAAAAATGGCAATGGCAGACATTAGGGAGGTGAGAATGGCAGTTTAATAAGAATTGAAGGGTAGGATCTCATACAGTGGCCTTTTGTCTTCCAGGTCATCACCGTAGTCACAGACACAGGAGCCACTCAAAGTCTCCTGAAAGGTAATGAATTGACCTCTATTTTAACTTTATTCAGAAATGAAAGTCCCAGTTATAACTAATTGGACCTGAAATTTTGTTTTGTTGGGGCATATTAGGAATTCTCCTTACTTACACGACGAAATTGGTCTAATTGCTTTGAGAATTACTGGGGTTAGATACCCTTTTTTTTGCATTTGTTGTTGCCCAGGCTGGAGTGCAATGGCGTGAACTTGGCTTACTGCCACGTCCGTCTCCTGGGTTCAAGCAAGATACCCATTTCGTTTTGTTTTGCTTTACAGGATTGCAGCTTTGGATAATGGATGAACTTTGGTCTTAGAAGACATGGAGTTTAGTCCCAACTTTTATTTATTTATTTTTAATTATCATTTTATTCATTATCCTTCTGTATCTAGAATAGTCCCAACTTTTAAAACTTAACAGTTGAGTAACCTTGGACAAATCACTTTCATTTAATAAGATTTCATTAGAAACCCCCATGTGCCACATACTGTTGGGTGCACTGTTAACCTCTGAGAGGTGATTTCCTCAACGGTAAAATTTGGATAGTAATGCCTGATTCAAAAGTGTTGCTCTGAATAAAAAAAACACCAAGTAGGTTAATGAATATGGAGTGTTAGCTCCATCCCCATTAGTGTCAGCATGCCAAGGTCCTTCTCAGGAGTCCTTGCCCAGATCCTTAATGTAATTATATGTGTTGCCATTTCAGGTCTAAGAAGAGCCACAAGAAGAGCCGGAGAGGGAATGAGTAATGGACTCGGTTTGGTTGTAGTCCACATGGCCTCCTATGGATATGAGGATCTCTGTCTATGTGGAAGGCTTAAGAACTCCCCAGGCAGCTACAAGAATATTTGTTTTTTCGTATAAAGATTCTCAACCTTTATTTTTAATGAAGGAGGTGCTGAGTTTTGTATCTCTTTTTAATCATCATTAACATCACTTTTTGACCCAACTAACCTTGACTGTATTCAAACTTATGAGGGTAGAAAGGATCTGTAGGTTGAGGATATGAATGACAAGGAAAGGATGTGGCCACCTGATGACCCTTCCCCTTTTTATTAAACCAGACACATCTGTTTCCCATTTCTCTGTCATTTAGTTTTTGGTTTGCTGTGGTTGGAACTGCTTTGAGAATCCTGGGATTTGTGGTGCTGCTATTATTCAAAGATATGGGTAAAACATAGTAGCTCTTAACTTTTTTCCAGCAGCAGCAAGTGGTGATAAACATGAAAACTGGTTAGCAGTTTTAAAGAACAGAATGCATTCAAATGTAAGGCTTCTTCTGGACCATTAAAGCCAGTTTCATCGAACAGTTCAACAGAGTGGTACTTACCCTTTATACAGCCCATTTTTTCATGATTCCATTGGTTCTTGCCCACAAACCTAAAATCCAGGTTAAGCTATCCAGCCTTTGTCATATAAGCATTGACATTATACAGGATTAGTCATTAGCAGTAGGGTAACAGGATTGAAAAAGATTTGATGGAGAGGAAAGTATTAGTCATGGTTTTGATCTAAATTGCTAGACAAGAGTGCCATTTACAAAGTCAGAAAATAACAGCAGAAAGACAAGCTTTTAGAGGGGCAGAGAATTAGAGGATTGTGCTAGTATGAAAGTGATGCATTAAATTTAACAAGTTTGAGACAGCTATGGTATAGCTTAAAAAAAAGCCCATAAAGTTGGAGATAGGGACCAGAGTTTAACATAGTGGTATAGGCCAGAATAGACAATATTTTAAGTAATTGTGGAATCTGTCAGTAAGACTGCACAGAGAGTGTTTATATCAGAAAAGCACACAAGAGAACCATAGGCAACACTGGTGACAGGAAGAAGTACTTGAATGACCCATTCAGAAAGACAGGAGAATTAGGAGAGTGTAGGTGAAGGAAGCCAAGGGTCAAGAATGCAGAAGCAAAGTAAGGACTAAAAAGTCGCCATGGACATTGATAATCAAGAGATGAGGTATTTGCTAGAAGAATTCCTTTTACCAGTACTTAACTCCCTTAAAAAAAAGTGACTGACTTCCTGCAACTAGTTCCAGCAGGAACTGTGAAGACCGACTGCCCTACAGGATCAAGTTTTTCTTGGAAAGTTTTATCTGGTCATAGGTAAACATTCAATGCATTTCTATTGCCTGCTCTTGAACTGAAAGACTTCTGCAGCAATATTAAAGGTTTTTAAAATCTTACTTGAGCTTTCATATTCTTAAGTGATTCTTTTCATAACATCTGAGTTAATAAAAGTTTTCTGAAAGAGCTCTTTTGGTTTCTGATACAATATAGGACTACCTTTTAAAATTAAATATAGCCATCGCTACATAAATGTTTTACAGTATCCTAGCAGTTATTTCTTTATGAAAGTAATTTAGATAGAAATGTCTTTTGGCTAAATGACCATGGACCAACCAAGCTGTCATCTTAATACACCCTTAAAACTTTAAATTAGGCTGGGCGCGGTGGCTCATGCCTGTAATCCCAGCACTTTGGGAGGTCGAAGCGGGCAGATCACCAGGTCAGAAGATCAAGACCATCCTGGCCAACATGGTGAAACCCCGTCTCTACTAAGATACAAAAAATTAGTTGGGCGTGGTGGCACCTGCCTGTAATCCCAGCTACTTGGGAGGCTGAGGCAAGAGAACTGCTTGAACCCAGGAAGCAGAGGTTGCAGTGAGCCAAGATCACATCACTGCACTCCAGCCTGGCAACAGACCAAGACTCCATATCAAAAATAAAATAAAACTTTATCTTAAAATATCATTTAAAGTAAAAATAAACCAACACACAAAAAAGACAACAAATTTAGTGAAAGAAAGAAATCTCCCTAAACATTAAATAAAATATACTTGTTTAGACATGGTAAAATGTGAGGTACCACAGCCAACCAATAGCAGGAAGGAGAATGTCCCTATTCTTTAATTGGGAGGTAAGAGTAAAACTTGTTGGGTATCTCTAGATGCCGTTTTGATAAAATTACACAGGAGATGGAGCTTAAGGACAAACCTTGCTGTAAGGCTATTCATCTATGTGCTTGCCTATGAACAATGCATTTTAAACTTTTTGACTACAGCATACATTTAAAAAGTTATTTTGCATCTTAACTGTATATACGTATCTATATTCTGTACTAAGACAAATTTAAGGAAAGGATTATGCAAAGTAAATTCTCGTATTTCCTACTCGGTAACACTTTTTAATGTTGGATGCAAATATTAACTTATTACATCTGATATTAATATTGGATGCAAATATTAATTTATTGCATCCAAAACTTAATTGATTGTACTTCCAATAATTTGAAATATACTGCCTTAAAAGCTTTGCCATAGGGCACAACCACTTTTTAATACTACAAAATTAAGGGAAATATGTTCCGAGGGGCAGAAGAAATAATGGATTTGGTGAGAAGGTTGCAATATAACAACCCAACTTAAAATTTATTCCTCTAACCTCTCTTCCTGTGATTCTTAAGTAGACTGACTGAAGTTTAAGCATTATTTAGAAAATTGTCACAGATTGCCCACTCTCTCGAACAGGTTAATCTGAAATTCTTCCAGGACCCAAAAAAGACAACAGACTTAAAAACACATACACGCATATACACACAGGTTCAAAAGTGATTAAGATATGGAAAATAAGATCAGTGGAGTTTAAAGGCCTTATTAGAAACCACAAAACAGCACAGAGAAAATAGGCTGGAAGAAATAAAAAAAATGGAAAATAAAGAGAAATATGTAGATTAGAGAAATATTCTCATGATTTAAAAAGAATTGGGGTCAGGATGGTTTCAGATCTTATAAAAAGAAGGCAATGAAGCAAAAGGCTCCAAAGGCTTGAGAAAAGGTGTGCCAGACATTTTATACTTTGCCAAAGTTGTCTTAAACTACAAAGGCTACAGATGTTCTAAAGTGTGTAAGAACTTTAGAAGTACAAATCATGAGCCTCTGGGAAAAAAACTGCCCAATAATGAAATTCAACTAAAGAAGAAATGAATCAAATTAAGGACTTAAGAAAGAATCAGTAAAAGGAATGTTAGTGAACATGTCAGAAACTTTAAAAATAATGGGCAATTATTATAAGGTCAAAGTTAAATATTATGAACACTATACAGAAATAAGAGTATGAAGGTTTCATCCTTCATAGCAGGACTCTCAGTTTAAAACATACATGAGGCCGGGCGCGGTGGCTCAAGCCTGTAATCCCAGCACTTTGGGAGGCCGAGGCGGGTGGATCACGAGGTCGAGAGATCAAGACCATCCTGGTCAACATGGTGAAACCCCGTCTCTACTAAAAATACAAAAAAAAAAAACTAGCTGGGTGTGGTGGTGCGTGCCTGTAATCCCAGCTACTCAGGAGGCTGAGGCAGGAGAATTGCCTGAACCCAGGAGGCGGAGGTTGCGGTGAGCCGAGATCGCGCCATTGCACTCCAGCCTGGGTAACAAGAGTGAAACTCCGTCTCAAAAAAAAAAAAAAAAAAAAAACATACATGAAACTAGAAAAAAAAATAGCATTGTTACTGTTTTCCATAATTGTCCTTAATTTTAGGAGGAATCTTACAAGACTAGATTCTCTTGTGGGAAAAAAGTAAGTTGAGCATTTCTTCAGTTTCACACTTGTTTTCCTTTTAATTTGCCATATTTACGAAATACAGCATCTGAGTCCATTTTCATAAAACTATTTGTATATATGTGTCTATATGATTAAGGGATAGTTGGAATGAATGAAGTTCACAGGTAGTACTTCTTTCTGGCTGATGAACTTTTGAGTGATTTTTATACTTTGTGCTTTTACATAATGCTTATTTTCTTTTTGCAATAAACATGTTAATTTTTACAAAGAAAAAAATGGGTTGCTGAGAGTTAAAAGCTTTCTTATAAGCCTACCAACACATTTTACATATTGTTTGCTGGAAGTACAAATTGATAACCACTTTTATGAAAGGCAGTTTGGTAATATGTAGTAGGAACCTTAGAACTTTTGATCCTTTTACCCGGTAATCCCACTTACGGGAATTCACTCTAATAGAGTAATTACATGTACACACAAATAGCTTTATCCCATCATTTTACATACTACATATATATGAGAAAAACTGGAAACAGCAAAAATGTCCATTTGTAGGGGATATAAACAAATATGTTATGTTACACAATACATCATAAATATTTGTATTTTTAATAATCCTAATGTCAAGGGAAAATAATCTCCATGTTATTAAACAAAACGTTTAAAAACAATTTGGTCTTAAATGTGTGTGTTCTCCCTGTATAACATTGATAATTTTCTACTTAACTGCTTTACAATTGAATCTGAACTCAACTGACTGCAAACCTAAAATCTGAGCTTCTACTGTATCAATTTTAAACTATATTCTCTTTTTCAACTTAGAGCAGTTTTGCCAATTGTTGAACACTGGCAGTTACTGAAGTAGGGGCAAATGAGATGCTGAAAACTAGTATCTGTAACACCATCAACAAAAGTAAAATCTAGGTTATTGGTTACTAGGTTGTCAGTTAAAAGCTTCTGCCAAGTGGTATTATATTGCCTTCCTTAAGAAAGGCTGAGGGGTAGGGGCATTTTCTATTATTGCAAGTTGTTTTCATTTTAATGAATATTTCAAATACTATCCTCCCTTGGTATCTGGTAGGGGACTGGTTCCAGGACCTCCCGCAGATACACCAAAATCTGAGGATGCTGAAGTCCCTGATACAAAAGTGTAGTCTGCATATAACCTATGCACATCCTTCTTTATACTTTAAATCATTTCTAGATTACATATAATGCCTCATACAATGTAAATTCTGTACGAAAAGTTGTTGCATTGTTTAGGGAATAACCAAAAAACTGTGCAAGTTCAATACAGACACAATTTTTTTTTTGTATCTGCAATCCATGGTTGGTTAAATCCATAGATGCAAACCCCAAGGATATGGAGGACCTACCATATGTACAAAAGTAAAGAGAGTAATAAACACCCCTGTTATATATCATTACCTGTTCTCCAAGACGTGGAAGGATGTGAAGTATTGAACGTTAATTTAAATCTTGAATGCTCCAAGTCATTTTAACATAAATGCATAGTTGGGTCAGGTTAT